GTCGGCGTTACAGAGCACCGAATACCAGGACAGCCAGGCACAAGAACAGTTTCTTTCCCCAGGCAATCTGCCTCATGAACAGTTAATGTTCTCCCATTGTGCGATTAAAGTATGTGCAATAACCTTATGCCTATTTATCACCCTAAACCCTGGTACATCCCTACAACTTATTTTATTTTATTCTATTCCTATTCCATCTATAGCACACCTCTCTTTCTGATTCTGATTCTGATTCTGATTCTGATATTTGGATATCTACAGGCTCAGGGAACACAAGCAGAGTTTCTTCAGATCACATATCAGTGTTTCTTCAACTACAGGCTTAGGGGTTGATTTATATTAAAACAAACAGATTTCAACTTTTTTTAAATAAAGTTTTTTTTTTTTTATATATATATATATATATATATATATATATATAAAGTATATAAAAATTATATAAAAATTAAAATACTATTTTAATGTATCAAATTAATACAAAAATAATTATAATAATATATATATATATAAATAAAGCCACATTAAAGCAATCATTTAACGTTCATACTTTTCAAATGTGGTTTATGTAAAATGTAATTGTTTTACTCTGAACAGGGTTGTTGTAGTTAACTAAAACTAAAAGCATAAAAATACCTTTGTTACCTGAAATAAGTGTGAACTGAAATTACATACAATATTAAAAACATATTTTATAAGATTTAATGCATTTTTTCCCAGCTAGTTGCTTGCGAAGGCAACATTTCTCATTTTCATTTAGTTTAACTTGATGTACTAAAATAACTAAAACTAAAGCTGAAATAAAAATTTAAAACAACTATCTAGTCCAGGGGTGGCGAACTCCGGTCCTGGAGAGCCGCAGCCCTGCAGAGTTCAGCTCCAACCCTAATTAAAACCCTGTGTTTGATTAGGGTTGAAGCAAAACTCTGCAGGGCTGCGGCTCTCCAGGACCGACGTTCACCACCCCTGATCTAGACATGAAAAAACTAAAACTAATAAAAATGACTAAAACTTTACTAAACAAAAAGGATAATTTAAAAATAAAGATTAATTCAAAATATTAATAAAAGTATCGCTGCATCTCAATGACACTAAACCCCTTAAACCCCTTTTAATATCAAACTATAGTTTGAATAAAATAAATTCTAAAGTATAAATAAAAGAATAAGTTATAATACTTAAAATAATTACAATTTAAAATGTATGATTTATATATGAAATAATCATTTATTATACTACTAATAATAATTTAATAGCATATTCAGGGAATCATATACCATAGTACATGTTCAAAAATATGGTTAAAAAAAGAGTGTAGAAAGTTTTTATTAATGCTTATTAATGGTATAATAAGCATTATTATATGGCAATCTAAAAAAAAAACAATATTTCAATAATTATTAATTATGCAATATGCAATGATTTTAATTTCTCTCAGATGTGGCGGTTTCAATGTAACCATCAATTTTGCCATTTTTTTTGTTTTTTTTTGCAAAAGTTGCTGTGCTTGTGCCTCTAGTTAAGAAACACCTGTGTGTGAACATTCCCTCTGTGTTCTTAAAGCTGTTATATATTGTTTATGATTGTTTTATCAATGAAAGATGACACTGAGCCTGTAGGCTGAATGACTGCAGGTTACTGAACAGTGAGATGCTTGATTGAGAGGAATCTTCTCATCACTGCTGATTTACTACAGTGACTGTCTTATTAAAATAAACATCGCTCTCTAAGATTTCACCTATTGCATTTTCATTTTGTGTTTTGGATTAGACACATTAAAATATCTGCATTTAGGCTACAAAATATCAAAGCAAGTGTCATTTATTGTAAATAAAATTGCACAAACACTTTACAGGAAAGGTTTAAAATGTTCAAACAAAAGCTGAAGACAGAAGTACTGTCCCACTGTAAACTGATTTCATACAAAATAATTGCCAGATGATTCAGAGACATTGAACAACAGTGTAGAAATTGCTGAAATTCTTGCTGTGAACTGAAACTCAATGCAATGCACTGACATTTATGCACAATGTTCTTTATTTAAACGTTGATTTAAATGTTTATGAAAGCTCAGTGATGATTACACAGTCTGCTGATACAGTTTATCAAATTCATGTTGACAGTTGCATAACCGGAGGAGGACAGAAGACATTACATAATCATCTGACAATTATATGCCAAAAATCCCAAAGGAATTCTAACAGGAGACAGAAGATACTGGAAAACTGTAATTCTTATTAATAATAGCATTACTTTAGGATGTTTTGACAAGTGATATCAAGAAAATAAACTGTTGAAATCAGATCTAGTTAAATGTCTGAAGTGTTTTTTTCTACTGATGAATACAAGAAAATAAACAATATATATAGACTAGCTACATATGTAAACAAATACAATAAGGTTATAATATAACCAGTAATATAAACCAGATTTACTGTGTATCCAGAAGCTATTTTAGCGTTTAGCATCACAATAATTAAATATTCACGCTGAACACAAAGGCTATAGAGACTCATTCATGCATGTGCAGTTGTTTACGTTACGCTTGTGATTGACAGCTGTGCGAATGTAAATCTAGCTTCTTTGATTTGCTGATAGTGCCCCACTTTGAGCGCGTTAGCCACGCCCCCCGCGCACTTTCAACCAATCGCTGAAGAGCACGAAAAAAACACGCATTGTTCGGTATAAATGCTGTGAGCAGCAGCAGGTTCACAGATAAATAACACGCGGAGTTTCCGTCTGCTCGTTATACTGGGATCATTACTGTAAAAGTACTGTACTGTAAAATTACAATTATTTATTTATTCTGTACTATGGGAAAAGAATGTTTCTGGCTGCTGGTTATCGGAGTTTCTCTTATTGCGAGCGAACCAATCTCCAACTCCACTGAAGAAGTGTTTGCTAGTAAGTTTTTGTAGATTTTTTTTTTAAATCTTCATTTTCATAATCTTAATTTTTTGAATTTTCATCTTTAATCGTATTTCTGCTTAATATTCATTTTTCATTCGTTTTACATTTGTTTATTTTACACACACACATACACTTACACACACACACAGGTTTGTTTTTATGGTTTATGGGGACTCTCCATAGGCGTAATGGTTTTTATACTGTACAGACCGTATTTTCTATTGTCCTACACCAACCCTACCCCTAAACCTACCCCTCACAGGAAACTTTCTGCATTTTTAGATTTAAAAAAAAAACTCATTCTGTATGATTTATAAGCCTTTCGAATTACGGGGACACTGAAAATGTCCTCATAAATCACCTTCTCGTTGCAATACCTATGTCATACCCATGTTATTATACAAATTTGTGTCCTCATAAACCACATAAACATGTACACACACACACACACACACACACACACACACACACAATTTACATTGGGGGAAAAAATGTAACTAAATTAAATATAAATAAATAAAATTAATATAACCTTAATTACAAATAATGAAGTATTTTATTTATGTAGCATTATAAAAAATATGGAAATTAAGCCCATTGTTATTATTGATAACTAAAATTATTGAAAGATTTTTTGTTAATTGAAATAAAGCTGACATAAAATGTAAATTTATATATATATATATATATATATATATGTATGTATATGTGTGTGTGTGGCTATATATATATATATATTACATTGGCAAAAAAAAGATAAATAACTAAATTAAAATTCTAAAATAAAAATAATAAAACCTAAATTACAGATAATGACGTATTTTATTTATTTATTTATTTAAGCCCATGGATATTATTGTTAACTAAAATTATTTAAAAAAAAAATTTGTTAATTGAAATAAAACGTAAATATTAGATTTAAAAATAAATGTTAGAACTAAAGAAAATAGAAAGTAGTTGAAGCACTAAAATTACTAACTGGAAATCTCTCTCTCTCTCTGTTTATTTTGCCATTAGAATGCATTGCAGTCAACTGTATTTAGATAAACGGATACATGTATATGTGGAAGTGATTAGGGCACAGGTCCAGGATCAGTGTGGTTCCATGTCTTATGATCTACTTGATCTGGTCATTGCATATACACTGATTCTGGATTAGCAAGTCCAGTTTTTATTTGATTTCCACAATACACTGTTTCAAAGCAGCTTTACAGAGAATAATGGCTCAAAAGCCCCACTGAGCAAAGCCAAAGCCAGCAGTGGTGAGCAAAAGTTTTGGTAGGATGAGGAAATAATTTTGTAAACCTTGTGAGGAACCCATCCTCCTCTGGATTTCACATAAATAATGTCTATAACACAGGCCAAAATAAATACAGAACATTACTAAATGGAGGCACATGCTAAATTGTTATGGTTTTACATGTAAATGATATTAACAGGTGCTGTTTGTTTCAGGTAACTCCACTGAGCAGACGGGGGACTACAGTGACATCGAGTCCAAGTTCTCCATCAGAAACCCAGAATTCCCTGACGAGGATCTCTGTTATCTTGTCCCAGGTCAACGGGACTCTGTTTCAGACTGTAACTTCAAAAATGATTCCCATACCTTCCTTATTATCCACGGATGGTCTGTGAGTTCACGGATGACAGTCAGAAAACACATGCAATTTGTCTGTTTACTAATCAAACATAGCATTGCTCCAGAGTTAATGTCCATTTATGAACAGCATGTGTTTATGTTTCTGTTACTTCATTTATTCTGCTATAGTACTACAGTACAATAAATGTACCTGTCTGTAGGTTGCGGGTCTGTTTGAGAGCTGGGTCTATAAGCTGGTGTCGGCTCTGTTTGAACGTGAACCCAGTGCCAATGTCATTGTTGTGGACTGGCTGGATCGGGCCAACAAACACTACCCCAAATCAGCAGAAAACACCAGACTGGTGGGGGCGGACGTGGCCAAGTTTGTCAACTGGCTGGGGGTATGCAGAGAAACACATTGTTAGCATTGTTAATGTTCTTGTTGGAGCATTTTTGTAATGACAGTCGACCGAATGTTACCTCACATCACTGCAGTGCACTGAGGTTGTTTGAGTGTATCTCACAAAAAACATGTCCTAAATTACAGATAATGACTGCAGGTAGGGCATGCAGAAAATAAATGCATAAATGCATAATTAAATAAATCTGTAAATAAATAAATAAACGAATAAATAAATAAATTATATAATAATATTTTTGTATTATTTTGTATAAAATAATTTTTAAATAGTTTTAGTTATCAATCATTTCAGATTAAAAAAAACCTGCACACCTAAACTACAGAATATATGTGTGTGTGTGTGTGTGTGTGTGTGTGTGTGTGTGTGTGAAGAGGAACCTAAATGACAGATAATGAAGTCTATTTTTTTTTTTTTTAATCTGAAATTATTGATAACTAAAACTATTTAAAAATTATTTTGTTAATTGAAATAAAGCTGAAATAAAATAAAATATACATTTTAGATAAAAAACTAAATGAAAATTAGAAATGTTACCTTGGAAACTAACTAAAGTAAGTTGAACACTGAAATTACTACCTGGAAATAAATAAAAACTAAAACTGAACTAAAACTAAATAGTAAAAAAAAAAAAAAAAAAAAAAAAAGTTGTGGTGTAACCATAAAGTAAAACGTAATATATTTTCCTAAAATAGTTTCTTAAAAACCTGAGTGCACATCTCTTAATCATTCAAAAGATTAAAAATGTTATTTAAATATTTATCCTCCTGACAATTTAGCCTTCATGCAATTTAAAAATAAAAACATAATATTTAAAAACATTGTAATGCATTTTTTAACTAATGAAAATGTTAATTTCATGGAATATGAGGAAAAGGTAAACAAACCATTTCAGGGCCCAGGACACAGACTGTTTCTTCCGAATAGCTGTTGCAAAATCATCTTCTTTGAAGTGTTTACTGTGTATATACAAAAAAAATCAACAAAAGCACACAACAAAATTACTAAAAATTAAATTGAATTTAAAATAAAAACTGAAAATATTAAAATAAAAGCTTATTAAAAATATTAACAAAAGCTATAAGTATATAAATACAAATATATAAGTATATAAATAATACTATAAAGTAACACTGATCCACCTCAGTTATCAGCAATACAGAAGATATCAATAGTCTTAAAGGCCTTTCTTCTTATAATTTCAAATGTTTGGAGTGAAATATGACCCAGACATGTTCTTAACAGACTTTCTAAGATTAACCGGTTTATTTGTTTGTGTTGTTGTGAAGGAGTTGGACTATCCTCTGGAAAAAGTGCATCTTTTAGGCTACAGTCTGGGTGCGCATGTGGCCGGCGTCGCAGGAAACCTCACCAACAACAAAGTCAACAGAATCACTGGTGGGAAGCCTTTTATTTACTAGTCAAATTGATGCATTTAAACATGATATTCTACTCAACTCAAACTCTTTATTTCTGTCCCAGAAGACACTTTGCCAGATGTTTATTCAGAGCTATGCATTTTTTTTTCCAGGTCTGGACCCCGCGGGCCCCAGCTTTGAGAATGCAGACAGTCTGAGGCGTCTGTCACCCGATGATGCCACCTTTGTGGACGTCCTGCACACAAACACCAGAGGCTCGCCGAACCTCAGCATCGGCATCCAGAGGCCTGTGGGTCACGTGGACATTTACCCCAACGGTGGAACCTTCCAGCCGGGCTGCAGCATTCAGCACACCATGAAGCTCATCGCCACCTACGGCATATACAGTACGTCTGATTACTGCATTGTCAGCAGTGTGATTTTAACTTATAACTTTCATTTTTGTATTTTAAATTTTCATTTGAGTTTAGTTTTAGTAATTTTGCTTTTTCTCATATATTTCTATTTAGCTGTAATTAATATTGACTGTATTTCAGTTTTCATTATTTTAGCACTTCAACTTATTTGTTTCAGTTAGTAGCCAAGACAACATTTATTAATTTTTTTTTTAATCTAATATTTTATTAATTTTTTCAGCTTTATTTTAATTACGGAAAAAACTTTTTAACAGTTTTAGTTAACAATAACAACACTGTTAGTAAAATACTAACTCTATTTAAATCCAATTTGTTATGTGTTTTGGATGTGCTAATTTTATTCGTTTTATATTATTATTATTTCTATTTAGTTTTGGTTGCCAAGGCAACATTTCTAATTTTTAAGTATTTTTTTTTTCATGTAAAATTTTTATTTTATTTTATTTTATTTGAGCTTTTACAGCTTTTTTCAATTACCAGAAATTATTTTTAATAGTTTTGGTTTTATAGTTAAAGTAACAATAACAACACTGTTAGTAAAATACTAACTCTATTAAAATAAAATTATTTTCTTTTGTTATTTTTATTCTTTTTTTTTTCTTTGATATTTCGGTTTAGCTTAAATGTTTTTATTAATTTCAGTTTTAGTAATTTTAGTAGGCTACTTCAACTTCAACTTATTTCAGTGTAGTTGCCAAGGCAACATTTCTAATTTTCATTTAATTTAAAAAAATCTGTATTTTTTTTTCATTTAATATTTTAATTTTATTTCAGATTTATTTCAATTACCCGAAAACAATTTTTAATAGCTGTAGTTTTAGTCAACAATAACACCACTGATAGTAAAATGCTAACTCTATTAAAAATCATTTTTGTCATTTTTATTAGTTTTTGGGGGTTTTTATGTTCCTATTTAGCTTTAATATTTATTTCAATTTTAGTCATTTTAGTACTTCAACTTAAACTTATTTATTTCAGTATAGTTGCCAAGGCAACATTTCTAATTCTTTAAAAAAAAGGTTTTATAAGTTTAAGATTTTCATCTAATATTAGTTATATTCCAGCTTTGTTTCAATTACTGAAGATGATTTTTCTTAACTCATCTGACCTCTTGTCTTTGACGCCTGTCAGACATGGACCAGATCATCAAATGCTCCCACGAGCGCTCCATTCACCTGTTCATCGACTCGCTGGTGAACCGGGCGTACCAGAGCTGGGCATATCGCTGCAGCTCCAAAGACGCCTTCAACAAGGGCCTGTGTCTGAGCTGCCGCAAGAACCGCTGCAACAAACTCGGCTACAGCATCAACAAGATCCGCAGCACTAGGAGCACAAAGATGTACCTCAAAACCCGCGAGATGATGCCGTTTAAGGGTGAGCCAGAAACCACCCAGATCGCCAGTTTCCCCAGAAAATGCATTACTAATCTACATCTAGTTTGTACTTTTGTGAGTTTGTATATTCATTTCTCTCATTATCCTGCAGTGTTTCATTATCAGATTAAAGTGCATCTTTTCAGCGACAAAAACATGACTTTGCTGGAGCAGCCAATGAAAGTGTCTCTGTTCGGGACAACCGATGAGAGGGATGACATCTCTGTCACTGTGTAAGTGCCCTTATTTTAACCCTCTGGTGCTGAAATTTTTATTTGTATGTTTATTTTTATTATTTAATATTTTGTATTTTTAGGGGATTTTATGGTAATAAATTATATTTATGCAATAGTAATGATCCATTTATTACCTGTTAACCACTTTTTGAGCATAGACCTGAAAATGAAATTTCAGAGAGAGAGAAGAAACAAAACAAATTTATAGAAATTTACGATTATTATTATGAAAAATGCACAAAAACATTTTTCAAATTTTATATGAAATATGATATAAAATAATAAAATATAATAATGTAATATAAAAATATAATAAAATATAAAATAATATATAAAATATATTTTAAAAAGTTTAGCAAAATATATAAAATATTATATACTTTCCAAAACATGTATTACTGTAATACCTCTTGAAAATTAAAGCCATAAACCTAAACAAGTTTTGTTCCAAATTTGAAGTTGATATCTCAAAAAATTAGTTTTCACGAAAAGTTTGTTTGGGTGCAGTACCAAAGCTTTCCACTAGATGAAATTCCGCTAACAGTGCAAGCGTATTTATTTGTGTGTGTGTTCACATAGCAAGTGCCAAAACCTTTACCAAGTTTTGTACCATTCATTTGAAGAAAAAATTATAAACAACTAAAGCATAAAAATATTTGGGCAAAAATGACCGAAGAGCACCAGAGGGTTGAGACATTTTTTTTTTTTTTATTAATTGTAATAGTTCAGTGGCCCCAAAACCACACTTCCATCACACTTTAAAATGTCTGAATGTCATTAGATACAAAATACCAAAGCCATTTTAAAGGGAGCTAAACATGACTGGTAAATCCTTTTCACGCAGGCCCAGCATGAGCACCAACAGCACCGTCTCATTCCTGCTGACGTCTGACAAAGACATCGGCGAGCTGCTGATGCTGAACATACGCTGGGAGAAAGACTCGTATCTCTACGGCTTCTTCAGCACCAATCAGTTCATGATTCGTAGAATGAGGATCAAATCTGGAGAAACACAGTCCAGGTGAGTCATTTCAGATCATAGAGCCACTATTGCACAGTTGCTATTAGAGAATTAAAGTCATAACTGCATGAATGCGTAGATAATATATACAGTTTGGGGTCAGTAAGATATTTTTAAAGAAATTAATACTTTTATTCAGCAAGGATGCATTAAAATGATCAAAAGTAAAGATATTTATAATGTTACAAAAGATTTCTGTTTCAAATAAATGCTGTTCTTTTGAACTTTGTATTCATCAAAGAATCCTGAAAAATAAAAATGTACCTCAGTTTATACAAAAATATGAAGTAGCCCAACTGTATTCAACATTGATAATAATCAGAAATGTTTCTTGAGCAGCAAATCAGCATATTAGAATGATTTCTGAAGATCATGTGACACTGAAGACTGGAGTAATGATGCTGAAAATTCAGCTGCGCATCACAGAAATAAATTACATTTTACAATATATTCAAATAGAAAACAGTTATTTTAAATTGTAATAATATTTCACAATTTTACTGATTTTACTGTATTTTTAATCAAATAAATGCAGCTTTGGTGAGCAGAACAAAAACAAAAAATCTTACTGTCCCTAAACTTTTGAGCAGTAGTGTGTTTTACAAAAAAATCTTTATTTCGCATAAACTTAAAGTTGAAATAAGCCATAACAGAAAGTGTTGCATATATTATTTAATATATTTGAAGTGAATATCCTGATAAACTATAGAAATGTGTTTACAGTTGGTTAAAAAAGGGGTCAAATGTAATTTATAGTATTATTACCACAATTTATGAATAAATACGTTTGTCAGTTATATTTCATACTGTTACGGGTTTATTTATTCAAATAAATGCAACCTTGATAAACATAATAGACTTCTTTCAAAAACATACTATACACATGTGTCTGTGTGTGTATATATAAACATTTTATGTATTTTTTCTTTTTTTCTAAAGGCTAATATTCAGACCCAAAGAAGGAGAATTTGGTTCTCTGGTTCAGGGTGGAGATGCTGTTGTGTTTGTGAAGTCCAGCGAGACGCCGCAGAGCAGGAGAGAGCAGAGGTGACGACAGCTTCGCTTTCACTGACTGTTAAGTCTGATATAAGGTCTTTTTTATATACAAAACTTTCTGTCTCTTTTCTGTTTCTGGATTTTCAGGCAGCACAGACTGAAACACCACGGGAGCTTCTTCAAACAGGGCGTCAATGAAGCGACCGCAGATATGATTAAAGAACCAGCGTTACTTCATAATGAATCAACAGAGATCATGACAGAAACCACCACAAAACCAAACACAGCTCAGGTCAACACTACAAATGCTTTGTGATTGCCATTTGCACCAGATGTACTGTATCTGAATGTTTTCATTTGATGTGAATGTGGGCTTGTGAATTTCACAAATTTCCAGGTTACATTTACATCCCAAGATCAAAAGAAAAGATCAAACACTATATACATAAAGAAAATGAAATACAAAATTCTCATGACTCTAATGCATTCAGACATTTACTTTACCCTCAATGATGATTCACATTGCTGTCATTTTTACTTTTACCTAGTTATTTACATCAGCATAAATATAAAGAGATAAAATAATGACAATTAAGCATTAAAAAATCCCATACGTGAAATTTTTGTCCTGTAGACATAGTCTAAAAAAAAAAAAAGTATAAATCCAACTTGATGGATTCACTAGTTTATATAATTAAGAATTTTTTTTTAAACATAAGTCAAGATAAATAAAATGACTAAAACACAAAGTGTGTATATATGATTATAGTGGGTTATAAACATCCAGTAGCTGTAGATTAACAATTTAACATTCCAATCATGAATTTAAAATTGCAGATTAATATAATTTCACATTAACAAATCAATGCAATTTTTTTTGGGCTGTATTTCAAGTGAATATTTCAAGTGTACTGTATTTCTGTTATGTTTTTAGTGAAGGTACAGTCAGTTAGTCCAGCCAGTATAATTATTAATTGTTAACCTGGGACATTATTCACAAACTTTAAAGGAAAATGTTATGATATTTTTATCATGCACAAATTGAATTGAAATGCCTGACAATTAAGTGAATCTGTCCTCTGTCATCCATAGTGACACATACTCTCTCCTAACAAATAACTTGCTGAAAGCATCTTGTCTGTTTATGTAACATGCTGTATGACTTCTGAAATGTATATAGGGTTTGATTATTATTACAAACTACATACTGTATATGTATCTATCTGATTAAATTCATATTACTCACTAAATATTAATTTTAGAACTACTAAAGTCCAACCAGCACAGAACATCATACAATAAAAATTGAGTTTGTATTGTATGAACTATGCGATGCATTTTTACTGCACAATCTAAGCACAATTTTATCTACTTATCTAAATGGGGACATTGCATGGACTTGGATTGTTGTTATATACAGCTAGTTAGAAATACTGTATAGCTTAACTCTAACCCTCACCCTAAACAGAAAACCTGCATTTTTTTCCAATAAAAAAAAAAAAACTTATATTGTTTTTCAAAATAAGGATGTGCCTAAAAGGACGTTTTCAGCACTTCTATGAACAAATTTGTCCCAAAATATGGTTAAGTCGGCACACACACACACACTTCTAAGAAAACTGGAACTAAAATAAAACTTTCCATGATGTCCAAACATATGTGCTAAATATTTAAAATGCCGATAATTCAAATAATCTCAAATGCCCTAAAGCACATTGTTTGTGTGTGTGTGTGTGTGTGTGTGTGTGTGTGTGTGAGTTTGCACACAGGGGGCTAAAATAAGCATTCAGGGTAACACACAGCCATCATATCTGAACACACAAACTGTACAGTGATGTAGATGTTGACATGCCAGATATCAAACATCAAATACAGCAGATTTGACTAATGCACCTGCTTAGGAAGAAAAAAACATGAATGACATCTGAATCATTTCTCTGCCTTCTCACACGTGTCTAGAGTTCCAAAAAATATCTCAACAGTATCTCAAACTGTGCTCAGGTTTACCATGGTAGGCTGCAATCAGAGATCTCAATATGAACTTAAACATTTCTCATTAAATGATCTGAGCTGCTGTTCAAATTCATTATTTTTATTTTTAAAATGAATTTTATGAGAAACGCCTGAGAGAAATGTGAATATTTGGCCATTTCAATAAAAACAGATAAAAACTGTAATTTGTATCTGGTGTATCTGTGCCATACTCACATGTATGTACTCGGACGTTTTGAAGCATGGCAGCTGGTTTGAGCTGGTCCTCATGAGCTGGTTTAAGCATAAGCAACTAGCTCCAGCTCAGGACCAGCTTAAACCAGCTGCCATGTTTCAAAACATGCAGTTTTTTTTCAACAGGGTAATAGAAGTCATTCAGCTTTTATTCCTCATGTTATCAAAGGTTTTCATGTTTTCAGTTGGATGTAACTGGAGGTACAAGCAGAACATGTTTATTTGGCGCTTGCTGATGTTTTACCTGCTTTAGTGTTGAAATGTGAGCACTGCTCGGAAACGCAATCGTCTAAAACAGCCAAACATGAACTTGAACTAGAGAACTGAGTGCTGTTTACTGTCACACACAATCTACATGCCTTCTGTCGTCTGATTGATAGTTTAGACTTTTTTTTAGTAAGTCAAAGGTCTGTTAGTGTAACTGTACAAACGTACACCTTCAGCTCGTGCTTCACGTGTGTTTCTGCTGTCAAATCTTGACTGATTTTTATCAAGTAAAAATAAGAATAACTTTAGTAATATTTTCAGATGAACACTTACTGAACTGAAGCAGCTTGGCTTTACTTGATTCTCCATAAGATCCTGTTCAAATGTGAGTCTGAAATATCTTCAGGCTTTTGAGGAACATTTATTTGTTCATCTCTCGATCATCATTGGATTGCATTGTGTATTGTTATAAAGATCTTATTATTTACATTACAAGCTTCAGAATTCCATCACTTTTTGGCCATACAAATATCAACATCTGTACCAAATTGCATATTTTTGATCAGTTTGGGCCTCTGAATAAAACTGAGCTGTTTTTCGTTCCATATTCTCACTATATCAGCCTATATGAACCATAAAATTCTGATGGATCAAATATGATGCAAAACATAAAACACATTTCTTTTATATTTTGAATATAAAATATTCCTGGCTAAGACAGAACTGCTTGTGTTTTCAACAAACCCATCACTTTATCAAAATTTCACCATCCAGTTAGGCTCATCAACCATAACTCCTTCAAAAACAGCCAGAAACCTTGGAGTTGTGATTGATGATAAGTTGAATTTCTCAGACCACATTGCTAAAACTGCCCGGTCCTGCAGATTTGCTTTATACAACATTAGGAAGATCAGGCCCTTTCTTTCAGAACATGCTTCACAACTCCTTGTTCAAGCTCTTGTTCTATCCAGGCTGGACTATTGCAATGTTCTCTTGGCAGGTCTTCCAGCCACTTCTATCAAACCTCTACAATTAATCCAAAATGCCGCTGCAAGATTAATCTTTAATGAACCGAAAAGAACGCATGTCACACCTCTGTTCATCAATTTGCACTGGCTACCAGTAGCTGCTCGCATTAAATTCAAGGCATTAATGTTTGCCTACAAAACCACCACTGGCTCTGCACCCCTTTACCTAAATTCATTACTTCAGAGTTATGTGCCCTCTAGAAGCTTGCGTTCTGCAAGTGCCATCTCAAAGAGGCACAAAATCACTTTCACAGACTTATTCATTAACTGTTCCCTCCTGGTGGAATGACCTGCCCAAATCAATCCGTGCAGCTGAGTCCTTAACCATCTTCAAGAAACGACTAAAAACACATC